TGCCACCAATGTAACGTAGAACGAATCTGGGGTTCTCACACGCCAGACGAAGGAAACCACTGACACTATTCTTCAGGGTTTCGGGGCTCTCCGGCCATTTATTCTTTCCACTTTCTTTACACGAGGCTCTCTCTTTATACAACTCACAACAAAAGGGAACGCTATACAAAAGTCACACTACTGAGTCGGCGCAGTCTGGCAACGGGTCTCCCTGGCCCAGCAGCAGGGGTCCCAACGCTACGGTTGCACCGTGGGTCCGTGCTGGCGCCCTCTGCCGGCGGCCCGGCACCGCCGTTACAATATGTATGTGCGCCTTGAACTCAGTGATCATGGGCCCCCTTCTCACTAAATACCGTTTGATACTGTTCTTTCAGTCCTGCTATGTCCTTGGCTGGATGACTGACATGTGGAGAATCCTTGGCTGCTCCGCTTGTGTCTTGTACTCTGAAGATCTGAGGACAGTTCACCTTGACTTTGTCCAACCAGTTCCGACCGAATAAGGCTGGCTTGTCTCCCGCCACTACGTACAGTGGCAGTGTATGTGTCTGACGCTCGTACGTTACTGGCAGAGTGAGTTTTCCCCGCACTTCTATGGATTCTCCTCCATAGGTTTTCAGTTTCACGGACGACGGTTCCAATGGCCAGCTTGAAAACTGCTGCTGGTAGGTCTTATCCGATATGATGGATACAGCTGCCCCGGTATCCAGCTCCATCTCTACTGAAGATCCTGCTAGGTCAACAGTCACAGCGATGCCCTTTGCTGGTGAGCTCACCAAACTTATCGTGTAAACCAGAAAGTCGCCTGATTCATCACTGTCCACGTCTGCGGCCACGTGTTTCACAGACTTCGAAGACTTGCCATCCTTTGGTGTCTGATTCTGGTACGGTTTCTTTCTTCATGCCTTTGAGATGTGCCCAACTTTATTACATCAATAGCATGTTGCTCCTTTGAAGGGACATTCCCTTGGCGAATGTTGACCAATTCATCGGTAGCAGTTCCCATTACCTGGTTGGTTCTGTGCCGATTTAGGCCCACGTACACTTAATATTGCAGTGGGTGCTGGTTTCCTCTTTGGAGTGAAGACTTGCTGGGCAGTCATCTTTTTCACCTCCAGACTGGCTCTTGGTTGTATATGTAGCTCCTGAGCTTGCTTATTTGCCATCTCAAATGCTACCGCCAGCTGCAGTGCCTTGTCAAAATACAGCTCTTTCTCGGTTAACAGCTTCTTCTGACATGTGGTGTTGATCAACCCACACACCAGTCGATCCCTTAAGGCATCCTTCAGGAAGTTTCCAAACTTACAGGTGGTTGCCAGACACTTCAGATTCGGACAGGTTTTTTTGGTAGATTATTCGTGATTTTGGTTGGGTAAACACACCATTTTAAATTCGGTTCTGGGAAAACACTGTAAAAACATGTGGGAAATATGTCATTTCGGTGGAAAAACAAATCCATTACTGGACCAAGCCCAGTCTAATGTGGCTTTCTTAGCTGTAGGTAGCTTTCCAGCACTTAACTGGCTCGTCACTCGTCACTCAAATTCTGATGGGAGGCAGGCTGGCTCTAGACAACAGACGCACATACTTTGGGGATAGCCTGACTGTTTATCAAGGACAAATCACTGCACTCCCACCTGTTTTATTAGTATGTGCGAACATATTTATGGTCGTCAACTGATTAAATAGCCATTATCTTAGTAGGGGGCTCATGAATACGAACCCGGGAATCCCAGGTTCGCGAAAGCCACATTAGACTGGGCTTGTATGGTCCAGTAATGCATTTTGGTTGCAAACGCAGCCTTTCGGTGGGAAAACAGGGGTATAGGCCTACTTATTATAACATTCGGTAGGGACTACATGTACGTGTCATGTCACCGTTGAACTGGTACGTTGAAGATACTTCATTGTTGTTTATACAAAAATTCTTTAAGTTTAATTCTTTTTTTTTTAACAATACCTGGTACGAAAATTGTTCCTGTTTAATTTTTTTTTACAGCTAACCCTGGTGCATTTATTTTTCCGAACAATTTTGCAACTTGTTCATTTAATCGGATGCACGAAATAAACTTCACAGAATTGAATTGAAGTGAAACCGTTGGGCTGGTACATTTAAAGGGCTCGTATTTTATGAATATACTTTTGTTATATACTTTTGTTATCTTCACAACAACACAAAAATTCCTCCTGTTTGAAAGTTGATTTTAAAAACACCCCCCCCCCCAAAAAAAAAAATATTAATAATAGGGCCTAAATAAATACTACACTTAACTTAAATACATGTACTTAACCTTACAAACTGGGGGAAAAAATGGTCATAGTTTTGTAAAAATTGTAATCTTTAAAATTACAGCAACCGTGTAGGTTGAAAAATTCCTTGGCCCTAGACTATGTGCAAACCTAAACATGTGCTAAATTTGAAAAAAAATTGCTGCCTACAAAATGGTCCGATTTAATTATCTTGCAAACATAAGGTTCTGGTTCTGGTTCTCTGGTGGACTACTGCATAATCTCCTCAGCAGGGATGTAATATGCAGGCGCGAGGTGAACGAAAATACACCGAAAGCAAATAATATTTGATACACAGTCAGTAACAGATCGTCCTGAGTCTAGTAAAACCGCTCCCAGGATAAATACCGTCAATTTGAGTCATTCGTTAAAATTCGCGGCGAAAGTGTATGGGCGGATCGATCTTATTAATGAATATTCAAGATCAAATCCAATATTCATGATGTATGACGATGCCATTTTGGTTGTTCTCGAACAGTGCCTTCCCTGCGGCGCCATTTTGCACGAGACACTCGCCGGTGTCGTTTAAAGAGAGGGCGCTCAGATGGAAATCAGTTTGAGCTGCAGTAGTGCTCAGTTGAATAGCCACCACCAACACACAATTTCAAAAATGTTTTGGAAGCCTGGGAGTTTAAAGTAAGATTAGTATTACTATTACTTTTTAAGCACCGTTCATATTTTTGTGTGTGAATCGTTTCTTTCTCTCTGCAAACCAGCAAAAATAATAACATCACACACAGAAACAGACATTATTGAATCAATCACGTATGGAATATATTATTTAATGACCAGACTTTTTTCCTCATTTTTCCCCCATTTGTTTTCTTTACTGAAGCGACAAAATTTGCAAACAGTACAGAAATTACAGTACATAAAATGTACATGCCCTATATACGGACATACGTGCATGTACATGTATACATGTACATCTATACAAGTACATGTACAACTAGAGGTTGTAGGAACAACCACACGGTGTTGGGCCATTGTTGATGTTGACCTTGATTGTTGATGTTAATGTTAATGTTGATTGTTGATGTTGATGTTGATGTTGAGGGTTGAAAGTTGAAAAATAGCGCGTGTAGTAATTATACAGAGGATAGTTAAAAAGAGTCAGGTGAGGATGAAAAAACGTGAGAGTGTTGAGACCGGTTTAAAGCCAAGTAGACTGTTTGTTGAACGATGCAAACCGGTTGGATGAAAGTGAACCAGTTAATTACAGTGCCAGCTTATCCACCCTGCTCTGATGTTAATCCCGTGTATGAGGTTGAAAGTCATCCCTGTGAGATTTCCCGTGAGATTTTCCCGTGAGATTTTCCCGTGGTTATAATAAACTCAATATCTGAGCTCCAAAAACAATCAGATGAAACCTGGAGGAACACTCAATCGTCGAACATTCAGGGGAATCCTAGGCTTGCAACATCAGCAGGAAATTTGGAATTGCCGCTTTAGCCTCTTTCGTTAAGTTTGGATCAAACGCTGGAACGGAAGTTACGGACAAAAATGTGATTGGAAAATAAGGATATTATAGAGGGCGCCCTACATGCTATCCAGCAGTAAGCCAAATGAATATGCAAACCACAAGAGGGCGCTAGTCAGCACAATCAATACAGCTACTACTCTCTGACACAGCCGCCCCTAAATTTGGGAAACAAATTTATAAGTACAAAAGAAAGCATCTTGTGAAACCATCCAACTGTTCATCAACCTATGAGGTCGGAGCGTCCTTGAGTTCATCGTTGTTGCTCATCTCAGGGAGTTGAATCAGCCGAGCTACAGGACGTGTGTAGACATTGTTTCTGACTCTCTCGTCGGCACTCCGGACACGACCATCCGGTCCAGGGAAGGTTTCAGTAACTCTGCCGATAGGCCACTGCGCCCGAGTGAGATTCGGGTCAATGATCATGACGACGTCGTTCTTGGACAAACCCACCACATCTCTTTGCCACTTCTGACGACTCTGAAGTGAAGGTAGGTAGAACTTGGAGAATCTGGTCCAGAAGTGGTCTGCAAAAACTTGGCTATGCTTCCACTGACGTCTGCCCAACAGGTCTTTGGCTGGATAGACCACTTGAGGTAAAGCTGGGTCGTAGCGCCCCATCAGAAGGACATTCGGTGTGACATGGTCAATGTCGGCGATGTCTGAGGATGTGTAGCCAAGAGGCTTCGAATGGAGAATTCCTTCAACCTCGATGAGTACTGTGCGAAGGACTTGCTCTGGTACCATCTGATCATTGAGGACAACTCGCAGGCCATACTTGGCTGACTTGATCTCTCTCTCCCACAATCCTCCGAAATGCGGGGCATTTGGAGGGTTGAAACGAAATCTTACTTGGTGTTTGGCAAGCTCTTGCTGTAGGGCTGGATCCATCGCTGAGAAGGCTTCCTTCAGCTCGGAAGCACCCCCTTTGAAGTTGGTTCCGCAGTCCGACAGCAGCTCATACGGCTTCCCCCTTCGGGATACGAATCTTCGGAAAGCCATCAGAAAGGCATCTGTGTCAAGACTCTCAAGTAGGTCTAAATGCACTGCTCTCGTTGTCATGCATTTGAAAATGATGCCCCAACCCTTCTCTGTTCGCCTGCCTATCTTGACGGTCATCGGCCCAAAGCAGTCAACGCCTGTGGAGTAGAATGGTGGCTGCTGGATGCGGAGGCGGGCAGAAGGAAGATCCCCCATCTTAGGGACACTTGGAGTGGCTCTCCACCTCTGGCAGTCAGAACATTGACGCTGATGTTTGCGGACAGCCTGTCGACCACGCAGAATCCAGAATCTTTCTGGACCATAGTGCATGGATAAGGAGCTTAGTTACATGATGTGCGGGGTCGAGCACAATTGGATGCTTGGTGAAAAGCGGGATTCCTTCAGCATGACGCAGCCGGCCCCCAACTCTGATGACTTGGTCATCTGCATCCCACTCTGGCGAGAGCTGCAGCAGTCTACTTCCTCGAGGGAGCTCCTTACCATCCTTGAGGGCACCCCACTCTTCGGGAAAACTGGATTTCTGGGCTCGTTGGAATAGGTGAAGCTCAATTTCTGCTCGCTGATCAGCTGTTAGTTCAACAGGACCATCATCCTTCGCCGCCCCGTCACAGAGCTGCTTAGATGCCTCCATAGATGCCTCCATAGATTTGTACTTCCCCAGGTCTGGGATGTCAGCCAGTTCCACGGTCACTATACCGCAGAAGGAGGATTTCTTCAGCTCTGAGGAATCCTCAGCTAGGGCAGGTGGGAAGGCTGGCCAAAGATCAGGGCTTGCGTATAGGAATGGTGGCCCATCTCGCCATCTGCAGGGTTGACTGAGTGACAGCAGACTTTTCCCTCTTGTCAGATCATCAGCTGCATTATTTTTCGTGTCAACGTAGCGCCATTGGTCGACGTCAGTCAGGGTCCGGATCTGGGCCACTCGGGTCCCCACAAAGACTTTATACCTACAGGACTCCGACTTCAGCCATGTCAGGACTGTCGTAGAATCACTCCAGAGAACAATATCTTCTAGGGGTAGAGTCAACTCTTGCTGAAGGAGACTGGACAATTGAGCCCCTGCCAAAGCGGCCGAGAGCTCGAGGCGGGGCATGGAGAGCTGTTTCTTTGGCGCAACTCGGGACCTGGCCATTACAAAGCTGGTGTGTACGATATGCGTCTCATCTTCCGTCCGGAGGTAGGCGACTGCACCGTAGATCCTCCCCGACGCGTCACAGAAGATGTGAAGCTGGCGACTGGCTGTTTCTGGGTTGACATCAGGGGGCGTGTAACATCTATTTAGTTTGATGACAGACAGGTTTGGTAGCTCATTTTCCCAGGCTCGCCATCGGTCCATAATCTCTCCAGGCTCCAGGGCATCGTCCCAGTCACGTTTGGTCTTCCATAAGTCCTGTACGATAACTCTGGCTCTGGCAGTGAATGGTGTGAGGTTCCCATTTGGATCATACTGGCTGGCTAAGGTTTTTACATGTTTCTCATGTTCAGGCAATCATAGTTGACTACCCGGTGCCGGTATTGCAGATCATCCGTGCTACAGTCCCACTGGAGTCCGAGCATGGGTTCGGCCAAGTCTGTCTCTCCAAACGTCAGCCAGAGATCACAGCCATCTGAACGTGCTTCAGGAGGGAGATCGGCTACAACGTTGGGTACATTACTGGCCCATTGACGAATCTCAAAACCACCCTTGGCAAGCAAGTCACGCATGTTGTGGACGAGAGTCTTGGCTTCGTCTTCCTGTGGTACACTGACTAGGCAGTTATCGACGTAGAACGATCTATCCACTGCATCAGCAACTTCAGCAGACTTCTCTCGATGATCAAAGACATGCTTACGTAGCGCATAAGTGGCGCAACAGGGGCTGCATGTTGCTCCGAAGGGTAGTACCTGCCACTCATAGATCTTGGGTTCGGTGTCGGTCTTCATGTTTCTCCACAGGAAGCGGAAAAGACATCTTTCGGTGGGCTGCAGCTAGTCTTACTTGGTGGAACATTGCCTTAATGTCCCCTGACACTGCTACAGCATGTTGGCGGAAACGCAACAGTACCCCAAGGAGCGATGCACCGAGGGATGGACCAGGAAGTAGGTGCTCATTGAGTATCTGGTTCTGATACTGGAAGGAGCAATTAAACACAAGGCGAAATTTCCCGTTGTGTTCGACTGTGTGATGTGGAATGTACCAGGATTCTTCAGACTTTGCAGCATCTTCCGCTGCCAGGATTCTGACGTAACCAGCATCTACTAGCTTCTGGATCAGCTCGTTGTGTTTCTCTGCCAGCGATGGTCGGGTTGCAAGGCGCCTTCTGTTCTTCTAAGGGTTGGAAGGACAGCCTCCTTTGGAGCATGGAACTTGGCGTTGTCAGTTCGCAAGAGGGGAGTTACATAACGCTGAATTCCTCCCTCATCCACACGGGCAGTGTTGTCTTCTAGAAGTTGCACCGCACGTTGATCTTGCTTGGAGCGAACGACGTGCTTTTTGTTCACATAAGGCACAACATCAACTTGCCAAAGTTTCTCAACGTGCCTCATCAGCTCGGCTGTCTCTGATTGGGCTGAGACTTTGAAGCACCGTTGCTCACCAGCTTTCTGCTTCAAAATGCTGGCTGGTCCATGGAGAGTCCAACCCAATCTTGTGAGAGCGGCTACTGGTGTCCCACTAGGACCGAACCTGATAGGTCGTCTTGGGGCGATGAGGTCAACGTGATCTGACCCAATTAGGATGACTGGTCGAGCTTTATCAACCAAAGGCAGTGGCAAGTCACGAAGATGTGGGTAGCACTCTTGCAGTATCTTGACTGGATACGTGTATTCGGACAGGCATAGGTTATCAGCAGCAAAGACACCATCCAGGGAGAACTTCACATCTGGCTTGTCATGGGGTGACACAGACAGAGACACGGATTGACCTTGACAGATGACAAGGTCTTCTCTTACTGTTCGTAGATGCATAGTCTCTGGTGTTCCGCTGAGTTTAAGCTGTTGTGCTGCATCTTGAAGTAACATGGTTCGCTCAGATCCATCATCAAGTACTGCATAAGAGTCAATGTTGCTGTCTGGACCGTGGAGGATAACTCTTACCACTTTCAGCATGGTATTGCATGGTCGGCTAGGTTTGTCCACATAAACGGACTGGCTTGTAGGTTTCACCATGAAAACACTTGTAGCCTTGTAGAACTGTAAGGTGCAGTTCCTTACACTGGTGGCATGGTTTTTTCAAGGTGCATGCATCAGGTTCATGCTTGCGGCAACACTTCCAACAGCGTTTATTCTCTTGGATCCACTTCACTATCTCCTCGGTAGAAAGTGCCTTGAAGGTCTGACAGCCATTCAAGAAGTGATCTTTACCATCACAGAATGGACAGAACGGCTTTGGCTTCGGCTTGGTGTATTTGGGGCTCACAGATTTTTCCTGCTTTCCACCTGTCAGGAATGCAGATGTTGGAGTTGGCTTCTGCTTCACCGGTCGATGGTCTCTGTTTACTCTGGAACTACTCTGATCTTGGATGTGACCAGTTACAGCTTGTTTAGCGAGCATCTGCGACTGCGACTTCAACTTTAGCCACGCGGCGAACTGAGGAAGAGTGTACGTTTCACCTGAGTTCGGCTTGCGTATACCCTTCTTGATGCAGTGCTCTATGAAACTGGTGCGGAGACTCGGGGAGAGTTTGCTCAGCAGCTTGTCTACATGTGAGCCACATCGAAGCTACACCTCGGCTTGGCTGTCTAAGGATTCAAGCATGCCCACCAAGGAGGATACATCAAGACAGAAGTCTTCAAAGGACTCGGTATCGTTGTGCTTGATTGGCGGTGTCATCATAATTGCAGCTATTTCAGTCTGCACCAGCTGACGGGGTTGACCATATTTGTCGCTCAGTGCTGCCAATGCCTTGGTGTATGGCTGGCTGCTATGGAGGTAGGATTTCGCAAGCTTCAGGGCCTTGCCGTCCAAACTGCCGATTAGCACTTGGTACTTGTATTGCTCGCTGAGATGCGGGTGAACATTAACCAGGTTCTGGAGAGCAATCTTCAGCAGCGCAAAGTCTTTCTCCCTACCACTGGAAAACTTCGGCAGGGTTGGTTTTGGTACACCGAGGGATGATGCCATGAGGAGATCCATGAGGTTGGTGTTCACTGATGCAATTTCTGGAACAGTTCCCAAAGTGGGAGGAGATATTGGCGTGATGACTGATGACGGTGGTGCACCAGGGTTGCAGACAGGAGTATGATTCGTCTGTTGGAGCGTGTTACTGGTTGGGAACACTGGTTTCAGGGAGTCACATCCTGTTTCCTGCGGGGTGCTCACTGGAGTAACTGGTTGCTGTCCAGTAATAGAGCAGGTGGGTGCACTGGGAGGTGAACCATTCACAGGGACTTGTGAAGTGGTCAGTACAGTCTGGTCAGTCTCGGCTACATCTGGGGTGTTCAAAGATGTATTGCTCAGCGACAGGGTTGGATCAGCAGTTGGCTGGGAGCATGGAATCTCACTGATGTCATGGATAGCTGGATCTGCATCCTCTTGCAAAAATGATTGAACAGCCTCGGCATCTCGTAGTTTGAGTTCGGCTTGACGCAGTCTTCTTCGTCTAGAAAGACGCGTCGTAATTGTCTCTCGCTCTCTTAGCGCTTGACATTCAACTTCCTCAAGCTGCATACGTGCTGCTCTGGCTCGGTCATCCTGCTCTTTAAGTTGTGTGTCGTATAACTCATCTTCGGCTATCTGCCGTTGGAGTTCCTGAAGCTGGGATTGCTTCCTCATGGCGGTGAGCTTCGCAGCTTGTGAGTCGCTCAGTTGGGAGATGTGGGAACAGCTTGACCGGCTTGAGTGATATGAAGTTGTGGAGGAAGTGCGATGGCTACCAGTAGGGGAACCGAGTGCAAAATCTTCAAAGCGCTTGGGTGGATGAACAGTCCGGGATGGACGGGTGGATGTTGGCAGTCGATCCATAGGTCATTGGTTCGAATCCGGTTCGAAGGACCATGAAAAAACGTGAGGGTGTTGAGACCCGTTTAAAGCCAAGTAGACTGTTTATTGAACGATGCAAACCGGTTGGATGAAAGTGAACCAGTTAATTACAGTGCCAGCTTATCCACCCTGCTCTGATGTTAATCCCGTGTATGAGGTTGAAAGTTATCCCTGTGAGATTTCCCGTGAGATTTTCCCGTGAGATTTTCCCGTGGTTATAATAAACTCAATATCTGAGCTCCAAAAACAATCAGATGAAACCTGGAGGAACACTCAATCGTCGAACATTCAGGGGAATCCTAGGCTTGCAACATCAGCAGGAAATTTGGAATTGCCGCTTTAGCCTCTTGCGTTAAGTTTGGATCAAACGCTGGAACGGAAGTTACGGACAAAAATGTGATTGGAAAATAAGGATATTATAGAGGGCGCCCTACATGCTATCCAGCAGTAAGCCAAATGAATATGCAAACCACAAGAGGGCGCTAGTCAGCACAATCAATACTACTACTTTCTGACACAGAGGATCTGCATGCGCATATGCTGCTGTACTGTAAACTGATCAAGTATACAGAAACCCATTAAATAGCTAAAAGTAAAGGTCGCACACCATTGGCGCAATACAAAATATTGCTTGCCATATATCTTTTTACCCTAATGCGCATGTTTTTGGAAAAAAAGCGCCCAATTTAAAAAAAAGCGCCCAATTGGGCGGTTTTGCCAGCCCAATTTGTGAGAATTATATGACGTCATCAGAAGTCAACAATGTGCTTGCGTTAAGAAGTTATCATGTAAACGTGTACAAAACACTGGTAAACACTTAAGATACATTGGTTCATCAAACAGCCGTTACATGAAGCTCAATAGTTAACATACAACAGTCGTAAAACCAGACACTCAGAAAGCAAGCACTGGGAATTCCCTTTTGTACGGAATCATAGCGCACTGTTTTTCGGGAATTTCCCTTTGTACGCAATCATCCCCATTTACTGTACACACAATGTACGTGGCATTAAATGAGCGTTTCAAGACGTAGGTGTGTTCAACTTCAAATTTCAAGGGGGCTGCAGGGCATCTCCAAGTTTACTTATTGAAACGAAACTTTGAGAAGTTTTAGACCTATTATTAAAGTGCCATTTAAAGCACAAAACTTGATTATATCTCTGACGGTTGATTTTTCAGCAATTTTCAAAGGAAAAGAGGTCTTTTCATTGTAACTTCCGGTCTGATGACGTAATCATTTTTGTTTGCGCACAGGTGTTGCCTGTATTAAGGTCATCATTTGTATGAATTTTGAAGCGATTACCGCAAATTTCGCAACAAACATAAACTGAAAATGCGTTTTGACATTTTTTAACCGGCCGCTAGAGAGCGCTCAAACAATTCATGACGTCACCGATCTTTTTTTTGAAAGGTCAATCCAGGCAGACTCTTACATCGTTGAAAGCAAGTTCATATCTTTTCCCACTTTTAAATTATTTGGCACTTCCGGTTTCGACCGGAAGGAAGGGTCACGTGATTTGACGCACACAAGATAAAATGAAGATCATACATTATCATGTCGATTCCCGCAAAATTCAAGTTCCGGTCTCTCACGGTTGATTTTATATTGAATTTCAAAGATTAAATATATTATTTTTTGAAGTGACGTCACGTGACCCATGATGACGTCATGATGACGTAATTGCAAAAAAGCTTCAGTTGGTTGTGCATTCATGTATTGACAATTGAAGTTCATATATGTTTTCATGTTAACAAACAGTTCTGGAGAAGAAATGTGTCTTGAAGAATAAAAAGAATAATAGTAAATTCCTACAATAACAATAGGTGTTGGGCTGAGGCCCAACACCTAATAATACATGTACATGTACATGTATACGTACGTGTCAACCGAAGTTCGTGGATTTTTCATTTTTGTTCAATCACACCCCTGCATACAATAACAGTCTGACGTTAACTAGTAGATGCCAACTTTAAGTATCATGCTAAATAAACTATAACACTAATATCTTGCTTAAAGATGGGAAAGTAAAAAAAAAAAGTCTTGGTCCTTGTATTACATCATAGGTACAGCCAAATTCTGTTAAACTACAAATATATCACAGCCAAATTTTTACTTAAGTATTCCTTATGAAAGACTTCACAGAATGAAAGAAACAAAGTGCAGCAAATGTTCATTACAGAGGGAGTACACGGATGTACTACCATTTATTTCCAGCCATCAAATGTCGGCTTCAAACCACGAGTTTCAATCACAAGTGTATTAATAATGATGCTACTTGGAAAGAACTGAAATTCAAAGTACATGTATGTTGTGAGTTGCAGCACATACCATACCAAAAATCATTACGGACTTACACCACAACCAAAATTAGAAGGTCATTATAGTACCACCAATTTCATGTGCAACCAATGGGATTTTAAAACTGGACAAGCGCCTCCACTGGACCGATCCACTAAGCCACGCCTGTGATGTTTTGACCAATCAGTCATCTTTCATGTCGGACATGCTTGCACTAATGTCGGACATGCTTGCAAAAATGTTGACATGCTTGCACAAATGTCCGACGTGTGCGCGCTTTTGTATGACGCGCACTTCTGGAACATGCAGTGTGGCATTGAAGAGGCACATGTGGTAGCACCACTGATCTCTATATAAAGACTGGATAGCTAATAAAGTGCCGCACAATGAACGAATTTGACGCCATATTGGTGAGACCGGCTGGTGATCTACAAAGGACAAGTTGCCGTCTTTATAGACAGCATGATTTCTTTTGTAACGTCGCGGTTTACTTGACTTATGTTTTGGCCACCGCCACTGACCAAGGTTTACTACAATTTTTCTAACGTCGTGGTTACTTTTATAATGCTGCAAATCACTTTTTCGGCGTTTTTGAAATAATAATCACTACGGAAATGTGTCCTTTTTAGAACATCATAATATGTGTACGTGACCAAAATGCGCGTCAACTGTTGATACAACGCGCGCGTATTTACGCGTAGAACGTTCGTATATACGCGGCCATCTTCGTGAGACCGGGGGCGAATTGGTCAATATGCAAAGTCTACTGTGTGAATGTTGTATGCATATCCGCTATCCAGTCTTTATATAGAGATCAGTGGGTAGCACATGTGCGCAATGGGCAGGACCTAATGGATTGGTCCACTAAGAATGCATGGGAAATGCTCGTGACCATGGCATAGCATCACCACAGTTGTGCTTGATCCGCTGGGCCCGATTTCATGGCTCTGCTTACCATTAGCGAAAAATCCCCACTTAGTGCTGTAGCAGAAAATTGTGTGCTCACGGTAAGCATATTTCACAGGTAACTGGGTTAGCACAGAACCATGTGTAGGCAATCAACTTTCCACTTCATTCCACAAACCTTGGGCATATAAGTGTGGGTGTACGGCAGAAATGGCACGAAATTAAAATTTACAGTTTTTCATCAGTGAGGGCACAGTCGTGCATTATTTGGCTAAAGCTTCTGAGTTATGAGACAGCCACACATGATTTACACTTGGCCTTAAAAAAAGGCATTTGGAGCACCAAAATGTGACGGATCCCATGCACACAATAACATGAATAAAGACTCAAAAATTATTTCTTTTTTGGACTCTCCAAAAGTACTGAGCATGCAAGTAAAGTCTGTCACGAACCAATATGGCCCATCAGGCCGGCATTAATCTCGGGTTTCCTTGACATGAAACGACTGAGAATATTTCTACTCCCCTGGATGGGATGCTAGTCCATCACAGGTTACTACCCAGCTAATGCCGATACACATTTATACTCCTGGGTGGAGAGAGGCAAGTGGCTTGCCCAAGGACATAACATATGGCCAGCAGCTTGATTTGAACCCCTGACCCTCTGATCATGAGTCACAAACCCTAACCACTAGCGTGCAATGCTGTCTTAATATTAATAACACTAAAAGGACACAATTCTTGACCACTCATAGTGATCCATAGTAATGGTGGATACCTTGTTTCAGCTAGTACACAAAACATTTGCTGCATGAAGATAAGCTGGCACAATAAGCCTTTTCGAGATATGGCAATCAAAATAGAAGGGGTTATTTAGAGTGGGTAAATTTGGATGAATTGAAAAGAATTTATTCACTCCCGAAGGGCGGCCTCCTATATCTCAAAAAAGCTTATACATCGGCCATTATTGGGGGCAACCGTGAATGTACCACGAGGCTGTCCCTAACATGGTGTGTACAATGTTAATTATCCAAACACAGATTTTACCAATCAGAATTTGCAGTATTGTGGTCATTATTTAAAAAGACATGGAACTTATGAATGGTCCATCTCAACAACTGTCTCAGTATCCTTAAAAAAAATCATTTACAGACAACTTCACTCATCATGGGGAAAGGTGACTTTCTTGCTGCAACAAAATTCTTGAGAAAAAAAACCAAATCCCTACTAGTTGGCTTACATGGACATGTACAATGAAGTGTTAGAAAATTTCACCAAAGAATTAAATTATAATTTTACGTGATAGAGCTGACCCATGTGACCCGGCCTTCATCTGGGTACCGAAAAGTCAGCGTCACCATTGTAGTAGGCAAAGATCATATAGCACTGTGCTGAGTAGGCTGTAGGCAAGCCTTAATAGCTGTGAAAAAAAAAATTCCCTACTAGTTGGCTTACATGGACATGTACAATGAAGTGGCAAAAAATGTGAGGAAAAAAACCCGGAGCCAACACCCAGTGCTGTGTCAGCACCATTATGACTACCATACAAGGCACCGGTAGTGACCATTATGACATTTGATAAAGAATTTGCAGATATTTTACGTGAAAATAAGCTCTACTGTCTAGTTGACAACGCAAGACGTGGTTGACATCCAAACACTTGCCTACTGCAATGGTGGACGGTCACAGAGAAACCGGATGGTCACGTGGTAGTTTCACGTCATACGATTAGACCCAATACTGATTTGGATCATTTGTTGTGCGACTTTTAAAAACACTCTACATATAATTATGAATTTACATTAAAGGCTGATTCATTTTTCTTTCTACTGTTGTGACTGTACAGTTATGGACATTCCTCTGTTAGACATTCTCCTCCCCAAGTTGTGTTAACTGCAAGAATAAACGAGACAACAAAATTCATTGTTACATCTGATAATGAGTACATGTTACAAGCATATGAGATTTTGTGTCAGTAAGCTTGTTTTTCTTTTAAATTTACACAAATTCAAAACTGATAACTTTATAGTAAATTCAAAAAATTGAATTTTGACATCTTTACTGGGGTATGTAGATGGGAACAAGACCTCTTACAAATACTTTAAAAGTATTAAAAGCCACAATGTTAAAATAAATGTCTGATTTCCTTGTAGCCAATTTAACCCTAACCCACCTCACTCCTCCAAAATCCTCCTGGCGGTTTTGGAGGATTCTAGAGGATTGAGGATGAATGGTGATTGAATCAAATGAGGATTCTGGAGGATTGAGGATGAATGGTGATTGAAGCACATGAGGATTTTGGAGGATTGAGGATGAATGGTGATTGAAGCACAAGAGGATTTTGGAGGATTGAGGATGAATGCATTTTGAGGCAGGACTGTCTGATGATTTTGAAGGATTTGGCGTTGGTTATCCTTCATTTAAACACGAGTGCAAAGTTTTGGGATGAGGAGGATTTTGGAGGATTGAGGATGAATGCATTTTGAGGCAGGACTGTCTGACAATTTTGAAAAATTTAGGCGGAGTTGCAAAATTTTGGAAAATTTTGGAGGATTTTGGAGGATTGAGGATGGTTGTAAGCAACAAGGGCCTAGGGGGTTAGGGTTAAGGCATTTTTAACATTTATTTTTAACGTGCTATTTCAGGTTTCAACCCCCCCCCCCCCCCCCAATAAATTTGTTTTTTCAATTGCTATTTTCCTAGCAATAAAAAGTTGTTCACTTTTGAATGAGACATCAAAAACAAAAACCCACCGGCGTTTTAGCTATTGAATTATTTCTTTAATAAATTTGAATTATTTGCAGCCCAAAATTCAGTCAGCTTTGAAATGGCAGCTTAATTTTTGCACCAAATAAAAGCCCTTTTTTCAGAGGGTTGCGGACAACCGAAATTGGGGAAAAAAGGAGGTTTTTTTCCGTAAACAAAACATACAAATTTATAATTTAAAAAGGAGAAAAACATTTTTTCTTTTGAGAGCATGGGGTACCTTTACCATACTCACCTTCATTTAGTTCATTTACTCCACAAATTTATTTAAACCTGTTCTTACACAATAATAAAGAATGAAAATCCTTAAATACACACGGGGCTTTGAGGACCAATGTTTTAAAACTATCAATTTTGATTTGGGCATGATGTTAAACAATATCTGGCATTACCTGTTTTAAGAATTGATCGGCGTTGAATAACTCGCTGCAACCATACGTTATCTTCTTCCCATGCCCTGCGGTGCTGGATTTACTCTGTCAATAACAGAAAAATGGAGAGAAATGAAAGAAAAACAGCCCTAATCATTATCGAATCTTAGAAATCTAGTCTGTGCTTTACAATATAATATAATTGAAAGGTAAACCCTTATAAGAAAATTCTTATAAGTTCTTTGAAGTGGAATCATAATATCCCACTGCAACATTCAAAATTGATATTAGTCGCAGTCGTGGAAAAATCCTGGAAAATCCTCGAATTTAAAGCTATCATGGAAAGTCATGAAAAAGTCATGGAATTTTGTTATTTTAAAAGGAGTCATGGAAACTAAATATTCCCCCTCCCCAAAAAAAAAAGTCTTGGAAAAGTCATGGAATCCTGCATAGCCCTTACCTGATGCTGCATGATATTTGGCTATGGATATCTTCCAGTTTGCATTCTAGTTTACTACACCTCCTCTTTATGCATGTATGTTCTATACTTGTTGCATGTTCAGTGCACCACTGTGATGCTTTTGTGGTGCTCAGTGGTCTTGTGTCAAACTGGAAGGCTGAAAGGGAGTGGTGTCCCTTGCCTCAGTGTATAATGTATAAAAGTCATGGAATCTATTTTTAAGATTTCTGTGGGGTCCCTGTTTACAGCTCTATCAGACAAATTCAAGACAGTAAGGACTTAAGGCCTACATACCTTGACATAGTCCATAAGATTCTGATACTCAATGTAGTTGCCTCCACCTACCACAAAGACAATGGCATCTTGGAATGGGGTTTTGTTCCTCGGGATAGCCGAGCTGAAAAATGACAACAGAAAATTGTTTCTCGGTTTTGATAATCAAGACTACAAATCAAGAATATTTTGTAATGGTAATCGCTTAGTTCACAGTTTAGTTCACTACCTGAAAGAGAAATGGTTTTGTCTGTTGTGTATGTTTACCTATAGGATAGTATCGCGATACAGGTTTTCATATCATGATGTTGTATCAAAACCAGGCACTCAAACGCACCGTTTGAGTAGTTGACCCGTGTCGACGTAATAGCCACAAGAGTCGGGCTAATCAAACACTCAAACGCAGGCCATCGTGATCCTCACGTGATGTCCATAGCCATGGCCGTAGCCATTGATAAAACGCCTTTTTTTCAGACTGAGTCTTACTTTTGAGATCTTCTACACTTCCACCCATCCCAAAATGTAACATAGTAGGACTGGAATTATAGCCTCTAAATTCGCTATGAGCTCAATAAATTATGTTCAGACTTCAAATAAAGTTGATTTTTGGGTCCACTTGAGTTTTTCCGCTGTCTGACCGCCATATTTGTCAGGTTTTTTTTTGGAATGAACAACTCATACATGTGACGTATTTCCAGTACTGACTCTGCTCCACGATCAGTGTCTGTGGTGCCTGACCCGGGTGAGCCCCGAGAATGACGTCAGAATTAATCGAATGGCACAGGGCTAACCTGAGTCGACCCATGTGAGCTAATCGAATGCACCCAATAGTTTGTAGGAAAAGGACATGGCATTCCATAGTAACATTCTGAGATGCCATATTTGTAACAGCTATACAATTTAAACCTCATATATGATTTCCTTTTTTGGGGGGATAGTTCATCTGTCCACCTCTTACCTGTCTGTGACTCTCAGCAGTTTTGGGTCAAAGTATCGGTAGTCATCCGTCTCCTAAAAGTGGTCAAACAATAAAGACAAGAATAAAGTTTTGAATCAAATCACGGCAATTTAAAAAAAAATTAAAAAAAATGTAAAACTGCCTTATCCTTGTTGACAAGTAAACAATGAATGCTGTTTGGAAATGTCTACAGATGGGTGTTGACGTTTCCTATTTTTTGTTCCAGGTGAGAAGGACTTCGATTGCTTAACATCACTCATATAAACTGTAACAGAACACAAAATGATAAACAATGCAATACATGTATAGCAAAGAAGTTTCTACACCATGCCCCAACAACATTATTTTATGGACACTGTGACCAAGTTCCTTGCCTTAATCAATTTCAGTGCTGTGTTATGTAAGCGGTGTAAAATCCTTCATGTTGTGAAAAAGGGCTGATGTGGTTGGGGATTGGAATCATTTGCCCTTAAGCATTGAACTGACATCTTGCCATGATGACTGATAGCCAGGCAAATGATTCCAATCCTAACTGCAGCCCTTTTCACAACATGCAGGATTTTACACAGCTTACATAACACAGCACTGACATTGATTAAGGCAAGGCACTTGGTCACAGTGTCCAAAAATGTTGTTGTGATCAATTGACCATGGTGCAGTGATGCGTGACTGAAATTAAATAAAACTCATAAGATTTTAGACCAAGGATAAGGAGTATCTGCTCGAGTAAACATTTTCAAAATTGACTTCATGGTTTTGTAGTTATTTCAAAAATAGTCAGACGGACACTTTTTGGGGGACATACTGTAGATATAAAGAATGAATCATACTGACCTGGTTAGATTTGAGCTCCATCAAGGCGTCGACTATCCGCGTAGCTGGCAAATTCTGAACGAGGGAAAAAGTACCATTATCTTTGATATCAATAACAAGTAAATACGATTTGAGGCATTCCGGGATCACGTTTTGCGGATGACACCACGTGTAATGTTGACGTTGATAGAAATGGTTGTACAAGGTTTTTCTCAACATTTTGGAGAGTGTAACAGGAGTGAGAATAGGGGAAATGAAAAATCCTCAAATAATCGGCATGGGAGTTTAAGATTTGCCGAGGGGCCTAGAGCAATGTACAGTCTCTGGCATCATGTTTGTATTTGCCTAAAAACACCCCTTTCAAATATCCACTTCTTTTGTCCAATTTAAATATGTAAAAAACCCTTTCCAGTAAACCTCCAGATTTGAAATGGGATTCTTTACAAAAAAAAATCAGGAAAAATTCTGACAAAAAAACCTGAAATCAGAAAAAATTATGTCATCCACGAAACTCTTCCTTGTATTGAAATAAACCTTCCGTGGAGAAAACTGCTCCCGATTCCCTCCCAAAACTATACTTTCTCCTCTGGCTAACAGTGTGTTTTGAATAACATCACAATGCAGCAGTCTGCTCACATGTTTCTTGACCACAAAGTTCTTGACGCCCTCCATAACAAACTGAGAGCCGGTGCTCATGAGTTTAGAGAACATGCTGATGGTCTTGGTGCCTCCTCCTGCATACTGGCTGGGTGCTGTCATCTTGGTGTAGTGTCTGCAGAGAAAGCCAGTCGGAAAAAAAAGAACTTGAGCTTGTGGAGCACTGTGGTCCAATGGTTACAGTGTTCCACTCACATGCTGTGGTATGTGGGTTCGAACCCTGATGGGGAAGATGGTGATTGTGCGCTTGGGCAAGACACTTTACTACAATTGCCTCTCTCCATCAAGGAGTATCAATGGGTACCTGTGAAGGCAGAGACCAGAATGCGCTGATCTCGAGCTGCTGCAAGACCAGTCTCATCTCAACAAAAGGTTTTTATGCAGCTGCTCCAAACCTTTGGAATAATCTTCTTTATGAAATCTGTCACGCCACTTCCCTTACTGACTTTAAAACTTTGCTTAAAACACATCTCTTCCAGACTTAATTGATCCATAGGTTGTTATTATTTCCCTTCACCGCTTTGTATTATACACTTTAATAGTTTTCTTGTGTAAAGCGTTGTGATACCAGTTTGTGTAAGAATGCTATATAAGTGCCCTGATTATTATTATTATGGCCTAATGAACAGGGGTAATAATTGTGAAACGCTTTGAGAGGCTTTGGTATAATGCGCCATATAAGCACCACATTAGTACTTTTATTATTATTAGGTGACTCAACTATGTGACATATGATGTCCCACAGTAAAAGTATGGGCAAATTCACTGAGCTGCTAAGCACAGATATATATATGCTAAGTTCAGAATAAATCTTCTTAGCCAATCTAGGTCACTAGCCAAAACGTCATGGGCTATATACTGCCCGGGCCCAATTTCATAGCGCTGTATTAACGGTTAGCAGAAAAGTTGTGCTTACTGTAGCAGAAAAATCATGCTGCTGCTTAAGCACTATTTCATGGCATGGATGTGCTAACAGTTGCGCGCACATGGAGATTTCTGTTGTTACATCACTGATTAAATCAACTTTTCTCCCCGGGGTTAAGTGTCTCCGCTTACTGTGCTTACTACTTACAGTCTCTATGAAATAGACGGAGGCTCTGCTAGCACAGAATCGGCTGTTTAGCAGCGCAATGAAATTGGGCCCCGGTTCACAGGTGATCTTTCTTAGCTAGAAATTATGCTGCCATTTTCTGCTAAGCAGCTGTGCGTGAAGTTGGGCTCAGGTTGCAGGAATCAATAAAACGACAATCAACTGGTGTAAACAAATTAGAGAACTCAGTTTAATTGACAAAACAAAACATTTAGAATGAGCTAGACTAGAAATACTGACTTCCATCTTTTGACGTATTGTAGTGGTGCCAAGTTACATCCCGCAGACTCCAAAGCAACGGAGTACTGATCCAGCTCAACCTGTGGGTCAAGATGACAAACAAAACATGTAATGTAAGTTATGCATTACGATATTCAACAAAAAGTGGCCACTGCATACTGCTGGTTAATCACTTGATGACGGGATTATTTGTGGCCCCCAATTTTTTTTTTTGAAAAAGACTGAATATATCGGCCAAATTATAAAATCAAGTCAAACACCACAAATACTGAATCTTGCGAGTCATTTGTACAATACATCTCACCGTTATTTCATATTTTGCAACACTCTGTGTACAGCGGCCATGTTCAAGTTCAACACACGGTGTGTACAAAACCAATTCGAACAAATGACGTTTATACACGACCACCGCCGAAGACTAGGGGCAAGCTTGACTATTTAACCCGTCACCCGCCCCTGCCAGTATACTTGCCAGATCGTGTTAACAGCCTCCGGTGTTAACTAGTTAAAAAACACTTACAATACTTCATTGCAGAAAACTAAAGAAGCCTATGTGTTTCATTATGTGCATGGGCACTCCTAATATCTATGAATTTGAAGTTGAAACATGAAATAACAATTTTAATTATCGTTTGAAATCCTTGAAAAATTCGAAGTTAAAAAATTCTTTCGCTGTCAGGTTAAAAGACATTTTGGTGTTAAAATCTGGTTTCTGGCCAGTCAGTAATCTTCATTGTGTTTCTGCAGATCTGTTTCTTTAAACATGATAGTAACCATTACCAAAACCTCTGTGTTGCAAATATCTACCAAATTACGATAAATTACCTACCAAATCAGATAAATTATCTACCAAATTAAATAAATTATCTACCAAATTAAATAAATTAGATGAATTTTCTACTAAATTGGATAAATTATATCTATTCTTAAATGTTTGAAAAGTATAGTCTGTTCTTCTCTACTCACGTCGCTCATGACTGGTGTGCAGATGAAGAAGATGAGAAACAACCTCATTTTATCATCCGGCGTTCCCGCGTCCGGGTCCGTGATTACGTCCATCAGAGATTTGTCTAGGGACTGTTTGCTCATTAGCTTCTCCTCCAGCTCAAAATAGACATCCAATTTGCGAACCTGAGGGAAGGGAGTAAGTAAGGGAGACAATCAGGTAGACAGAAAGGGTGACAGAAAGGGTGTCAGACAGAAAGACATTATAGAAGAGGCGTTAAGATGAAAGACACACAGAAGAAATATTGCATGGAATCTGTGTATGCGGATCGTACAAAAACATTGAAAAATACCTCTATTTAATAAGATGATCTTCTCATTAGATGGAATTTTTTGCGTCGGGGTGATGTAAATCAAATAAGGTTTTGCCCTTCACCGACGTATAAACACTGTATACTCAGTGTGTTACCTCCCGAGTGAAAGTTGGAAAAAATCACTCGGGTGGGACTCGAACCCACAAACTCATGCTTTCTAGTGCAGATGTCTTACCACTCGACCACCGAGCTAACGGGATCGGTTGGCTGGTTCGAATCTGATGTACATAGCAGCGGGTACCGCATTAACTATTAATAAGATGGGATTTTTGCGTCGGGGTGATGTAAATCCAATTAGGTTTTGCCCTTCATGATGATCTTGAAGGGCAATGAATTTGATGATCTTCTCAAATCTATTGATTGTGACTGTACATGTACTTCACTAGACTTCTGATAAAACTTCTTTATCAATCCGTCACAGAAATGCAGAGGATTTTACCACCCTTCCTTCACGTCACGGCAAATGCCAAAATCGCTTGTTTGGCAATGCGTATGGCAAGCCAGCAGTCTGCGTGTGTTGCTTACGCATCTTTTTTTACATTCATGTGTGTATCCATGATGCAACGTTGGACCTAGACGTACAGGTTCTGGAGAAACTCGTAACTTAACCTCTATAATACAGGGTGAGTAAGCAAAAACGAAACCCAAAGGTCGGGACTATTGTTTCAGTGAAGTTCTGCATGTAGCACTTTCAACATCTAGGATATGAAAGCCCAATTCATAAGCTTTCTTTTATTATAGGAATCATCCAAATCACTCATGTACTTTTCAAGTTACGGAATTTCAAACACAAACATTGTTTTAAAGTTCTGTCCACGGATCACAAAAAAAGGTGTGCGTTCTTTCAGCAAAACGAAAACAATTCACACACATCCCTATGTGATTTGTTTTCATTTTGCTGAAAGAACACTTACCTTTACGTCGATCCGTGGACAGAACCTTAAAACGGTGGTTGTGTTGAAAATTCCGTAACTTGAAAATTATATGAGTGATTTGAATGGTTCTTGTACTAAAAGAAAGCTTATGAATTGGGCTTTCATATCCTAGATTTTGAAAGTGCTACATGCTGAACTTCACTGGAACAATGGTCCCGACATTTAGGTTTCGTTTTTGTTTACTCACCAAAGTTACGAGTTTCTCCAGAACCTGTACGCTTGTTTTACTCACCCTGAATTGGGTTTTGCCTCTCAGCCCTCACCGACGAGTGAGTTTGCTTTCACTACAGTCAATTAACGTATTGCATGAAAAACAGACTGTTAAAAGAAGTAACATAATGAGGTGATATTTCCCGTGAAATCAAAAACAATTGGATTGATGTGACCTACCTTGATTTGATCAAGGAGTGCTGTGGCTACATTGGTATGCATGTCAATGGTCTTCTTCTTCTGAAGAAGCTCCGGAAGAGAACTGTGGACAAAGGATTGAATAAGATCGGAGCAAAGAAATTGACTACAGTGGGATTTGAACCGGAGACCTCTGGACCATCGTACCAGTGTTCTATCAACTGAGCTATCGGGCCCTATGAGGAGTAACAGTGACAAACTGGAGACGATTTACCTTTTAAACTGAATGTCTGGACTGCTCAATAAATTTGTACAACTTTGGGTTACCAGCTAAAATGTCATTAAATGCATGATGCTTGTGACTGGTTCTCGGCTGATTTTTGCTAAGTATGTGATTTGTTTAGCAATATTTTTCCCCTCTTTATCTTGAGAAATTGGGCGAAGAAAATGGCCAGCACAACACTTCTGCCGAATACTATCTTAGATAAGAATCTATCTTAGATTAGAATTTGTGCCATTTCGCATCCTCAAGTTTGAGAATGTTATTAACCGTCCTAGGTATTTGTAACTTGTTCTTTAACCCTAATACGGCTTGGTTATTCTGACAATCTCACAGCCGGGGGGAGGGGGGATTCAGCCCCCCCCCCCCCTTCAGATCTCAGCCATAAAGTGCCAAAAAATTATGGAAATCGGTACATGCATGGAACAACTTAACATGAACACAAGAAATTTCATGAATTTTGGCTAATTAATTATTCATATGCACGAATGGTAATTCTGCTTTGTGTTTTAATAATTCTACTTGGTAATTCTACTATGTATTTTGGGAATTTAAGTTTTCACAGCATGAAGCGCCGGAAAAGTTTTCGTTTTCGCGGCAAACAGTGGTCCGAATTTTTTGTATTTGGTATCAAAACATACGCAAGACTCGAGGCTAAAAGTAAGAAGAGCTCGGGGCGTGAATTCTTTTTTTTCAAGGGTATCGTGGGAAAAGTTGGGGGGGGGGGAGGCAGATTTCACCTCCCCCCGGCCCTTTTAGGGTTAAAACCATAAAGATTTTGCCTAATCACGTTTGCCCATAGAGTGAGCACCCCACCTCAAAGTCCTTTGAGAAAATCTTCTGTGGAGTATGGATAACATTTCCAATCCATGAACAATTCTTTTGTCTGGTTAAGCTCAGGGCAAGCGGGCAGATTCGCGCAAGCTTCACTACTCTCAGTGCAGTGACTTTCTCTGTGACTGTGAGACCGTTACTTTAACACTTCATTAGGGTATTACATAATGCTCTGAAATTGACTTCCTACTACTCACAAGGAGGTTTAACTAAATGACTCAATTTCTGCAACCCTAAATGCCAAGGCATTCAGGAAACCTTCCTGTATCTGTCATCTCCCCCCACTTTGCAGGACCCCAGTAGTAAATTCTTTGGGGGCATCAAAATCCCACGTAACGTAACGATGACTGGGCTATACATAGTCATTTCAACATTATGAAAGAAACTATAATGTCCACCACCGAGCCAATCAATCATGATATCAATTACACAAAAGATCCGAAACTCCGAGTCTGTAATCTCTTAGACCATTTCTAGATGATGGATGCATTAGGTTTGAAAAGAAACATTTTAAGGTTTATTCACTGAGCTCTTCAAGTACAAAAACAAATGTCCTATTTGTAATGTCCGTGAAGCTGGAATTGCCCACGTTTTCATCATGTTAAATCCTGAATATTAACCTCCTGGTGGATTCTGAGGGATCAAGAGGCTACGGTGAAGACATGCTTACCTTACAGCTGATGTGAGTTTAGCCGTGTTGTCCGATAACATACTGATAGCACCTTCATCCTCACCTTCAAGACCCTGACGATCAAAAGTAACAAGATTAAAGGTAATATACAACATTTGCAAACATAAAAAAATACCAAATTATTATGAAATACCTTACTTGACTGTAAGTGACTAATAGTCTTGAGCATCCTGTTAAATCATGGCACCTGGTGTGCTGCCATTTTCAAGACCCAACTTACTCACCATGGCCGCCTTGAGTTTCTTGACTTCATCCTCGGATGCTCGGTAGGTTTCTAACTCACTCTGAACCGCCTCAGCTACCTCAGGGAAAGGACTGAAATGAAATGCAAAATGCAGACACAGGATGCAGAATCAAATACAAATTTTGGTGTGACACATGGCTACAAGTGTATATGACTTCTAATTTGTAGGACACTATAGGACAATGACAATTTTTAAGACCATACGCATGGCTGGATGACTCAGTTGGTAAATTCTACTGCAGCACAAGACCATCAGAGGGTCGTATAATGACCTCCAACCTCTCCGATCAGAAGCAAGGGGCAAGCAATAACTTGGGAGCAACTGGACAGTCAACAGTAATGGCTTCCTGCTTTAGCCAGGTAAGCCGGGAGGGGAGGACCACAAGGTCTTGTCCAGGTAGCCGGCTGGTGACCATGACGAAACTGGATGGCAACATCCACAGCAAGTCTGGCAGGGGCTGGATTTTGGCGGCGCCTCACATGACCAAAAAGGGACTGCCGTCTCCAAGAGACTTCTGAGACAATACTTCTTAACCCTGTGTGCTGTTGAACTACCATATTGGGGTGAAGTCGAACCACAGAATATGTAACATGCAACAAAGACATTGCATGAACGTGCAAGACCGAAATATGCTGTAGTTCTTTCTTATGTAGTGTCCAGGTCTCAGAGCCATAAGGAAGAGCAGAGAGCACACAGGCATGGTAGATTTAAAGTTTCCGAAAGGCTGGCAGAACACCAGAGTTTGTGCATTTGAATCCCACCCGAGTCAATTCTCTTTGATCAATCTATAACAAATTCTCATTTTAAGACTTCAAGCAGCATCTTAGGAATATTTATCCATCAAACTCCGCATCAAGCTATCCTCTACATTCATACAACACAAGATCAAAACTTATATTATACAATGAAGCTTTTGTATCAAACGCATATATAAACAGTACATCCCACACCAAGTGTATATTTTTATACAACATAATCTTCGACATAACAACTGTTATTACCAAATGCCACATTGTAGCTTCTTAATCACTTCAATTGGCTAAATATTTATTCTCTGTTCTTGCTCCAACTTTCATTCAGTCAATTTTACATGACTTTAATCTCTTTGTGTCATTAGGCACTGACGACAATCCATTTAAGCTAATGGTCACCATTTCCACACAAAAACAAAATGAAACTGCCAAAAACTTATGAAATTTCGTGCTGGATTGTAAGTAAATAATAGGATCAAGCATCCTGTGAAATTATTGTTCCTATTAAATAAGATGCTGTTATGTTACATTCGAGAAAAGAGGAATTACTATAATTTCCTCATAATAGTTAGGACCAACCCTTCACAAGAAAAACACCTTTCTTCGAAAACTGTCCCAAATTTGCCAAATTTAATTTAGCTTGTAATAGGTTACATACCCATGAATGAGTATTATTTTTCCCCAAGTGACAAACTGGGGATCATACCACAAGAGGGTGCAAGTCAAAATGTATGAACATTTTCAGAAGGGAGAGTTTTCAACGGAAACCCTGCTTTGCGTTAAGAAAAATGATGATGCATTTTCAGAGTTTTCTCCAAAGGTATCAACTGAGCTGACGTTTTGACAGGTTAGTTTAACAACCACCTGCTTCAGATTAACTGTATTGTTGTTCCTTGAATTGGCAAAAATGCTTTTAAGCAAATGGTGTACACTACTTTTAAAGTGCACATCATATGTGCTCACATTTCATATTTTTGTCGGACGTCTGGTTGCACAACCACTGCTGTGATTAGCTTAGATATTATGGGATAGGTCCAAATGGATCGATCTTAATACCCTCCTGCTAATCTGAACAGTCACAGACAATACACATAGTCAATCCTCTTCCCCTGCCATGCCTTTTACACAGGCTAGTCACCAACAATCATCGTATTTCAAGCAAGCACTGTGACTAGTCAAATTCAGTCAACAGACAAAAGCAGGCAAGTGGTACGCGCAGCTGGCTTATCAATCACCTGCAGTCAAAGCATAGCTGTATCAAGTTACATAAACAGTCACAGCCAGTCAATCCTCCCTTGTGTAGGCTGGGAGTTCTTAACTGTTGAAAACAGTCACTTGATTGATTTTGACTGAAAGGACAACTTGGCACAGAGTGTATGCTTGCAATAGGGGGGTTAACATGACCAAATTACTCACTTTCCTTTTTGACTGGACCAGAATTTGTCGTGGCATGAGAGGTCATAGGACTTGGTCTTTTTCTTGGGTCGTGACCCCGTGGTGGAGTGACCTACATCTACCGTCTCCTCAATCACCACCCTGTTTAACTGAAGATCCTATCAGGGGGAAAAAAGGAAGGAAGTTACTAAAATTAATCTCTCAGAAATCAAAACTCAACACTAAGTGTTGAATAAATACCACTGAGTGCAGCAACAATTACTTTTAACACTGTTCAATCCTGAAATTAGTCCCTTTTTATCATTAAAGTTTATTCTTCTATCTTTAGTTGAACATAAAAAGGAATCTGTTTTCCCAGCTATTTTAAAACGTCGAATTGACTGTTTCTAATATTCAGATTCGTCCATCAACATCAATTTAGAGCACTTCCAATGTTTAATTTCGTCTTTTGTCGGACAATTTTAAATTCAGTTCAAGCAAATTCACACAATGAGCACACGATTTCGTCCTGGAGTTTTTCATTTCATCTCATCTACGCCAAACCTTGTTTTTTTTTAGAAATCAAATTTGTTTAATTGATTCATATAAGACAAATTCGATCTCTGTAATGACAAATATTGTCGACCCGGTGACTGTAGAGGGTGACCAAACTTTGAAATTGAATTGTAAATGACTAAATTGATTTTGTTAAAAACGTGTGAGATTTTGTGTGGACAAAATTGAATGATAGAGTTGGTCAATTTGAATGAGAAATATTTTGAAATAGCCGGGAAAACCTATATTAATGTAGCGGGACGGCAAAAGGAGGCCGGCCCTCTAGTGAAAGAGGATGAGTGTTCTATTAAAAATATATGCCAGTAAAACTATGAACCTATGACGACGACAATGAGATGAGCTTCCGAACTTTGATTTTGATTTATTTCTACACAAGAGTCAAGACGATAATGTTCTTTACACAAGGCAATAATCCATGATGTACATGTAGTAAGGCACAATAAACTAGCACAGCGATATATTATAGGTCAAATGTCAACACATGGCTGGCTACATACATTACAGATTACAGATTGTGAATCATCCAGCCTCAAAATGAACACAATATTCTCACAAAAAGAAAAAATTATACACAAGTACTCACAGGGACGAATCTATAATACTACCCTTCCAAAATGATATATATTTGGAGCATGGCCGGAGCCATGCTCCCTACAAAATAGAGAGAATCTATGCCCGAAATTTGTGGTGGTCTTCCCTGTTCAAGTCCCACAGAAGAAAACTTGATACAAGTTTGTGCGGGAAGCACAAAGGTCATGATATGCAAATTACTCACAAAACTTTTGGATTACAACAGAGGGCGCACTTGGTCTCCCTACATTAAGGTTGCAGCTAAATATTTCAACACTGATTACTCAGCAAAAGGAACAATGTAGCTACAAAGGTTTAGAGTTTGGTTTAAAATCAGATTCAAATTTTAAACTCCAATTGGAATAGTCTATTTATGTATTTAAATTTCACTTCAAACTTGAAAATGTGAATCCATCTTCTAGACGGGTTCATCCATCTACAATGGAATTGTAACGTTTTTGTTAATTTGGGAATGTCATTATAGTGAACAGAGACATATTGTGACATTACAGCCAGGTAAGGTTTAAGAGAACATGTCTTTGTCAACATCGAAAGTACTACTAAGAAGTTATTCAGACCAATGCATGACATACCAGTACATCATGTGCCAGAGCTTGGTAGGTCCATGTGTGATGAAATGGAGTAGCTAGGTCCATGTTACGATCAAGAATGACTAGTAACGGTCTCTGGAAGCTAAACAAAGCATATGAAAAGGAAATTTCATTTTTACAAACATAGCCCTTTTACAATGACAACGTGGGGTTGCATGGTAGGCATTTTTTTTCCGAAGCACGAAAATGGAAGATAGACGAAGTAGAACAGTATAGATGTTATTGGTTCTAATTGAATGACATCAAAATACCACTTGACCATAATGGTTTCCCCGTGATCAGCCACCATAGCAGAAGGCAAGTCTTTTGTTAAAAACAATGCCATGCATTATAAACTAGACAGTAGGGTTTATTTTCGCATGGAGTAATAGAGAATTTTTTATCAAATGGCATTATGATTGCTAGCTGTGCCGTGTATGGTTGTCGATATCGTGCCGACCAAGCACTGGGTGATGGCTCTGCGTTTTTCTCACATTTTTTGCCATCCATCACAGCTTTGAAGGCTTGCCTACTACCTGCGTGCGGTGCTATAGGATCTTTGCCTACTACAATAATGGTGACGCTGACTTTCTGGCACGCGAATGTGGGCCAGCACCCGAATTTCACGAAACTCATCGTAACTTACGATGCATTGCAGTGCTGCGACGCATCGTATCCCTACGATGGGTCACATCGATGCAAAATCACGTCGTAAGTGTGACGTGTCGTATGTGTATTTATAGCACAACTCGATGACCGTTTTATGTATTAAGTCAGCGTACAGTAAGTAGTCGTTTGGTATTCAACAAAGAGTCGTCGGATCTCCGCTCAAAAATTGTTAAAATGTAGGACAAAATGGCGGCCGTGTGATGCAATTTTAAAGGAAAATGAGCTCTCAGTGGACTGTGTAGCTACTTTGAAATTTTAACTGCAATATTCCAGGCTAATTCATAATTATTCAATGAAGTTTCTATTTACAACTTTACACACATTGCCTCGGTATTATAATCTCGTTTATGTAATATTTATGGCACAAAACTGGCTAAAAACGGACTCTTCTTATTTTGTGACGACCACTAGACTTGGTAACTTGCGACGTGTTTTAAGCCGTTGTCAAGGCACTTACGAAGTGTTCAACACATCGCAACTTTCGTGAAATGGATGATATGACGCGTCGCGAGTTGCGACGTGTTACATGTCGTAACTCGAGTTGCGACGCGTCGCTGTGCTTCGTGAAATCGGGAGCCGGTCATGAAAGAGCCCTACACAAAGGGTAACATTATTCATGCATTCGTAATACAGTCACGATTCCATAAAATTCATGATGATAACCTGCTGGCTTTATAAAACGCAATCACAATATTTTACTACTGATAAGTGACATGTACCTGAACTGTCCAGCTTGCATGGAATCCGTCGTAAAGAGACTGTTACGAGAATCTCGCAGGTTCTCTCTTAGTTTCTTGTCAAGTTTCTGGATCAAAATACAACAATCAAATATATCAACTCACTGACCTCCAGTTTCTAGTCACACAGGTCAAGTCCGAATTGTTAAAACATTCCCTGTTAAAAGGTGTGTTTTACATTTTTCCTGGACCCAGAGAGGGCCAGTCTATAGTCCTCTTTGTACCTCACGGACTTGTGAGCCAGGCAGTGCTTATCATATACGTCTTATGAATAGTTTCATTGCGGTACCCGCGGCCACATCGGATTCGAACTACTCAACCGATCCCGGCAAGTTTTGAGTCGTAAGACGTCTACACTAGAAAGCAGAAGGTCGTGGGTTCGAATCCTGCATGAGTGATTTTTTTCTCACTTTCACTCAGGGGGTAACACACCGAGTATACAGTGTTTATACATCGGTGAAAGGCAAAACCTAATATTGAATTTACATGAATCTGGGCATGTGATTACTGTACAGACACACAAGGGCCCCCCCCCCCCCTTCAATAGAGAAACGAAGGTGCATGCTATTGTACAAAGAAAAGGCCCCGTGACAGATTATCTGAACAAAAGCGAGCCAGTGCTTTTGCCACTGAATTGGGCCTTCGTGACAAAATTGATATCAGGACTTAACTGGTTTCTAGGATTGTTCTATGTGCCAGTGAATGGGTTCAATCCGGCCCACTAAGTACGCATGCATGATATTAAACCAGTTGTGTCTATATCACATGAGCGTCAGGCTCCAATGGTAATGCATTCATACGTCCATTCCAGAGGACTCCCCCAAGTCTCTTTTTACACCGTTGAGGGGTGCTTGTGCACGCAATCCATTGGATTTTGGAAGAAAGTTATGCTTTCCTAAATGTGTTCTTTTGGTTATGATGACTTGTACTGACGTGGGGCGTGAAGTGAGATGACGTTTACCTCTGCCACCATCTCAGCTGCGTTTCCCTTGGGACATCGGATGATTGGCACAGTGCCAAGAGTGACGCACACCGAGAAAAGACTAGCCGTTATGGTGTCCATGATGGTGTCCATTTCTGTGTCTTTGACGTCAGCGTTGTTCATACCTGCAAAGATAACAAAGTTCATAAAAAAACATCTATAACTTCATAAATACCTAAGGCAGTTTACCCATTCCTACTGGTCGAGAGCCCGTCACGTGGCCGGTACCAGCCGGTCTTAAACACTTTTTCAGTGTCACATGAAATTTGGACTCCTATTAAATCCAGTGCCTTTTACCATTTTATTGGTTGAGCATTCACAATCCTCACATAGGCATGTGGAATACTACCAGTTAGTCAGTGTTTTATAGTCCTGGACACTCCGTTATATACATGTAGCTAGAGGGGTGATTCGAAAAGCATGAAGTGAAATTGTCAAACAAAAATCGTTGGAAATTGAGCTGAAAAGCATATAGGATCATTTGCTTTTCCAGCATTTTATTTGGTTTAAAGCAACAAAATTGCTAAAAATCTTAAGTAGGGTGAATTTCGAAGGATCCGGGCATGTTAAGCTTGGTGAAAGCAAACACGAACGCAAATTTGTGACATCACAGTCAGCACACAAGCTGCTTATTCATGAAACAGTAAAACATGTTTCTACTCCATCAAAGTTTGTGGCAGTTTTTTTTACATTAAATTTATGTCGCATTTTGTTCTGTGGTTTTCCCATAGCAATACTCACTATAGTACGAGATTGAATCTCTGTTTTGATGTCTGACTGTGAAGAAAAAATCCTCCATGGAGATGAAATTCAGATACTGGTCAAAAACCTGCCAAAACAAAAGAACAAAGAAACAAATCAAACAAGAGACTTGCTCAGTAATTTTCAGATGATTGACAATCTCTTCACAAATTCTGGACGAGTTGATCTTTCTGGCTTATGGCTTCTGACTAGTATCGCATTGCCAAATTGTCGGAACGCCAACATAGGGCTGGATAGCTCAGTTGGTAGAGCTCTGGTACGGTAATCTGGAGGTTGTAGGTTCAAATCCAGCTCCAGTCAGTTTCTTTGTTAAAATTTATATTATAATGCACCTAGTCCGTTCCCCATTTTGGTTTATCTGAAATTGTTCAAAATTGTGTTTGTAAGTCCATAGATGGCTTCCAATTACATTTTCCATTCACAGCTGTACAACATTTTTAATAAATCACTCCACTACCCAAAACCCCTCAAGCATTGCCCAGGCACCTTGCGAAATTCAGCAAACTCTAACAACTGAATTTACATTTTCAATATAAAGTATTGTCAATTTCAAGCACAATGCACAGCTGAGAGTAATTTTGTAGAAAATTCTGTGGAAATAAATGACAGAAAAATTTGTTCAGTTGTTTCCGGTGAATGTCCACTACACGTGACACAAGATGATTTTGGAAACAAATTTCCTTGCTTGACTGAAATGGAATTAATAATTTCCTAATATTTTTTAAACAGAAAACAAGTTGCCCTACTCCTACCTTTGATATCTGTGAAACTGTGTTTGACTGGAGTGCCGCGCCGGCGAGTTCTTCTAGTAGCTGTCTGGAGATGGCAGAGGTGAAGTTCAGAAAGAAGGACTCGTACAACTGGCTCTGACAATCCTGAAAGTTGGGAGAGACAGTCATTTCATTTACGTTTACTTTGCAAAATACAATTATTATCAAATGTAGAAAACCTGAAAGTTTACACCGAACACAACATAAAATAGGAAACGTGAACTTACTCACACTATGACCCTAAACCCATAAAATATTCAGTGTTATCCAATGCCTGAATAAAATCTCCATCATATTCGGTGGGTCATTGATAATTTATGTAATAATAGTGGGTATTTATAAAGCACACGTATCCACTTGTACTGGTGCTCAAGGCAGTACATCGTTATTACCCCTTATTTTTGGGCCAATGAAACATTCCAAATACCATCTCTGCTTCCTGCTGATATTACGACGCAAAGCAGCTAAACTCAACCACAATAGCCATCTTTGCTCTCACAGGTACCCATTTACACCTGGGTGGAGAGAAGCAATGACTGACAAAATGCCTTGCCCAAGGGCACACGCACCATGACCCCAGGCTTTACGCGCAGACCATGAATTAACCAGGTTGTTCATCACGAGTCATTGAAATATTCGTCCTAAGGCACGGTGTGGCTGCACCGCAAAAACAGAAATTCCACTCCACGGTAAACAGAACTTCCATGGCACATTTGCATTTTCACACAGCTCTGAGTCTGATGCTGTACATTCATATCGGTAGTACCAGTTTACAAGTAACCAATCAGCTGAGGAGGATGTATTCAGATGGAATGCTTCATTCCACTCAGCTTTGCCTTGTGGAATGGAACATTCCATCTGTCACCTTATGAAAAAATTCTTACCACTGCACTCAAAAACATTCACTTTTTGTATACCATACACACACTGGGAAGGTGATCACTGTACACACATAGCCCAGGTTGGACGACGTCTTCATTGCATTACGACTGATGTCCAGAGTATAAATTGTACCACCATAGCGAAAAAAATTATAACACATTTTTTGCATATTTTTACCTGACTGAGGAAGCTGAAATTTCGCTTACATATTCCTTGTGTCCAGAATTGTGCCTGCGCTGGGTTTAGAAAAGGGAAATATGTCCATGGGCGGCGTGTTTACCGAAAATAAACCACAAGTTCTTCGCTTTCGTTGAAAACATTTTCAGTACGAACTCCCCGCGTGAAGACGTACTCGCGCGTGCCGTTTGCTGCCACTTGCTGCCATGGTGGCAGCGTGCTAGGTGTGCATGCACGCACGCGCGTAATCTTCACACGGCCACGGGGAGTTCGTACTGAAAATGTTTTCAACGAAAGCGTAGGATTGCGGTTTATTTTCGGTAAATACGCCGCCCATGGACATATTTGCCTTTTCTAAACCCAGCGCAGGCACAATTCTGGACACAAGGAATATGTAAGCGAAATTTCAGCTTCCTCCGTCAGGTAAAAATATGCGAAAAATGTGTTATAATTTTGTTCGCTATGGCAGGAAAGATTCATACCCTCGACTCCGTTGCGTGTACACAACGGAGTCCAACCTGGGCTAGTACCCACAGGAGGCCCCTTTTAATGTTATGAAGCTACCAATCAAATAAGAAAGAGGTCTTATTTTTACCCGACATATTCTCTGGACGTTTTCCTCGGTGGGGAGGACAAAATAGACAGCAGGAACATCTGGGATGGGGTCCCGATCTGAATGGAGAAGCCTGGCAGAACACAGGACCAAAATACAAAACTATGATATTGAGTTTGAGGCCTGGAACTTTTCATTTGTTCTGAGAATGGAAATGAGAAATTGCCTGGTTAACTTTTAATTGCTGTCCTTTGATTAGTTTTAAAAACATATACATATATATACATGTATATACATTGAGCCCCAAACAATTTTCTAGCCGCGTTTTAAAAAAATAGGGAGTGACTGGCATTTCGATCAAGCACTCATGATCAGCTGAATCTTTCTTAAAGGTGTTTTACTTTTTGCCAGCTTTGCAGAGTACACATTGTGCCTTCAACCTCAGGGTGTATTGCAAGCCAATATGGCCCATAAGGCCGGCGTTTGGTATAAAACAACTGACAATATTACTATCCCCCAGGCCAGGATGGGATGCCAGCCCATAGCAGGTTACTCCCCAGCTAATGCCGGTACCCACTTATACTCCTGGTGGGGTAAAAAGGCCTTCCCAAGGACACAACATCTACCAACAGTTAGGTACTCAAGGCGCTGGAAATTATGTCTATTGTTAAAGAAAGGTAAATAATATATATGAGAAATATGAGACCCATTATGTAGCACCTTATAAGGGTTGACAAGGTGCTGCGGCGTATATTGTTGCCACTGCCAGAAACACCGGGGCAAACCCCTTCTCTTAGCGATAAGTGTTACTGGGTTCTTTAAAGTGCATTACACAACACAAGGGACCTACAGCTTTACGTCCCATCCGAAGGACGAAGCAATAATGGTAAAGTGCCTTGCTCAAGAGCACAAGCACCATGTTCCCACGGTCAGGATTCGAACCCATGTACCACGGCACACGAGTCGAACACCGTAACCATTGGACCACAGCGACCCACTATGACCAGCAGCTGGATTCCAACAGCAGCTGGATTCGAACCCCTGACCTTCTGATCATGAGTCGCAAACCCTAATCACTAGGCCAGACTCCCTGTTTCAGGGGTGTATCACTAATGTTTTAATCGATTCTTCCCCAATTTTTCACACAATGACCACGAATTGTTCAGCTGATCTGGAATATATGGTATGAGAAGTTACAGAGTTATATGCAAATCATAACTTAAATTGTGACAATGTTAATGTGGTAAGCATTTGTCAATTTCTCTCTTACAAGTGCAAAGTGACGCCCATGTCCCTCAATTCCCGCACCGACAGCAGTGGTGAGATAATGTCCTGACCGAAGCGATCGTATACCAGTATCTTCCATGTTGGTTCATTGAGGCTGGTCTTGGTTACCGGTGCATTCAGGTTCAGCATGCGCTTCAGAGCAGCTGTTCAAAAGCAGAAATCTTCACGTTATTGTCATCAATCTCAACTTTCTTAATGGTGAACTCTAAATACTTGTAGTGACGTTGCACCTACATCCATACTATGTTTTGGCAATATTTTCCAAAGATAATGTTTCTACAAAAATGTGTGAAAAATTTATCATTTAATTCTTGATATATAATAAGGAATGAAATGACATATGTAACTGGTTCATAGCCACTTGGGTTTGTGAACAAATTGCCTGACTTGTTTGTCATCCAAACCTAAGAGCAAGATGCATCATGAATATTGAAAAGGTATGAAGGGTTTATCGCAGTGGCTATCATTACAGCAGCCGTAACGCAATTTTCAACTGCCCTCGTTACGGCATGACAGTCAACCATCTGGTTTCCTGACCTAAGAATAATCAATGTGAGGATCTTGTGCTATTGGAACCAGGCTATCAACCGAATGGTTCTCAGACTTTATTTCCCTTTTAAAAAAAATCCTCCAAAAGCCACTGATTACAAAGTGAAATCTACTGATAAAAAAAGAACGATTTGATTAAAAACATAAAAATAAAGAAAACTTTATTAAAAGAAAGGGGGAAAAAAGTTGGGCTATTGAATACCACAGACGTATCAGCCGGGTTGCGACATAATTGAACATCAATAGTCAGCATCATTTGGTCTGGGAACCAGACTACGTGCATTGCAGTGATATTTTGCATGCGTGGAGCCAGTAACCGGGACCATATACGCAAAACAATTAGGGTTCAAAACTACTGCTGCGCTGCTCAATTTTTTATAATTTTTTTTTTGATACGTTATCTTGGAAAAAATTTCATACTAGGCCACCACTCAGACCTCCTGCTGAAAGTCTATGAGCCATGACAGAAAAAAAGTAAAGTATTTACTAAGAATTTGTGCACTCCTTAAAAAATGGTGTTTCTTCATCAGATTTACATTTTTTTGTACTTATCACTAAATATCAGGTCATATTATTAGGGAATGTGATTAGGAAAAAATGTTGCTACCTGATGCCACTTCCGCGATTGTGTACAAAGTCTATGATGAGTGTCAAGAAAAGTTCTAAGTATTTCCTAGCAAAATTGGAAATATTTCTCAGTCCCAGATTCATGTCTTAATCTTATCATCATTTTTGCAATGAGTGACCTTCATCAGTTCATTGAGATAATGAAGAAAAAAGTGGCGTTAGGTTGAATTGCATAATACCCCACCACTCGATCAATCCACCTCGTAGCCGGCTAGGGAGTCACGGTTGATGGACTTAAATTGTTTCTTTTCCAGTGATTCCAACCGCGTAGCCAGAGATTTTAGGGGTGTATTTCCGAGTGGCAGGGCATTCTGCAATTACTCCATTTTTTCCGTTTCATTTACTTCTTCGTAATCCTTGGCTTTGAAATAGCCCTTTTTTTTTTTTACGAAGTGGCTATCGTTACGGCACTCGTTGTTTAGCGCCCTCTACGATATTTTTTTGGTACGCACGCAGGTATATAATTATTTGTTTCCACACGTTTTATCGAGCAGTGCGCCAGCTCAGCCGATAGAGGGTAGGATTTTGCACCGCGAGGTTGCGGGTTCGGATCTCAGTTTTGCACTCGAATTTTTTTCCTTTTCTAACCTGAGGCTTTGGAGGATTTTTTTTAAAAGGGAAATAAAGTCCGAATTTCATAAAGTTCAAATTCACTTTGTTCCTTCTAATTTTATATTTTCTTGTCATGTTTTTTTATAAAAGTTGCCAGGTTGCAGTCTACCGTAACGATAGAAAATGGGAAATGCATTACGGCTGCCGTAACAATAGCCACTGCGTTTTTTTTAAAGAGAAATAAAGTCTGAGACTGAAAAAAACCATTCGGTTGAATGATACTATAGTCTGGTTCCTACCGCCAAAGATCCTAACGTTGAATACCATTATTTAGAAAGGGAACCAGACGATTCCCGCAAGTTGAAAATCGCATTTTCATGATTTTGCATGTTTTTGGCTGCCGTATCGCCAAATTGTTCCCAAGCTAGTACTTATTACATATTTGGTTAGTGTTTTGCAGTGTCGTTTATTCTGCAATGCACTGGATCTGACATTAGGCAAATACAATCTCAGTCTTAATAAAAGAAAACAACAAAAATCAAGAAAATCACCAATCTGCTTGTCGCGAACGGTGTTACTGGCGGCCGCCATGTTGACGTGTAAATGAAGTCTGGTTTCTGGACTGTATTGCTGCAGGATATAGGCTTCATCACACTAAAATGACAGATGTTGAAAGCCAGCGCGCGCGCCAGCCTAGTGGGACTTTAGTCTTGGTCCAAGGCGTTATGATATAATTCAATTATAAACCACCGTAATAGAGCTGCACAGCCTTTTTTTTCCTACAACGAAAACACTGGTATTAAAGTCATCAAATTTGTTAGACCTCTTTTACATCCGGACATGTTTTCAGGTGCGCTGGGAAATGGATGGGAAGAAATGTTGCAGGCTGACGACACTTCCGCGCGATTGTGTACAAAGTCTATGGAGAGTCAAGAAAATTTTCTAAGTATTTCCTAACAAAATTGGAAATATTTTTCAGTCCTAGTTTCATGTCTTATCATCATTTTTGCAATGAATGACCTTCATTGAGATGATATATGAAGAAAAAAGTGGCGTCAGGCCGCCTCCAATTAACACAAGTATACCACAGTTTATATAGAAAATAGCGTGATTTTCAGTATAGAAAAATAAGCAAACTGTAAAACTACATTATTTAAGTGTGGCCTGCGATTTGGGGCATTTTCCGGATGGACTATTGGGCAAACGAGACAAACAAAAGTTGCACAAATTTGTATAAAGTCGTTTTGAGGGGCCGCGTCAAAGTTTTCGCAACTCGGGGCCAGTTTAACGGTTGCTTCAAAATTGTTTCTCAATCGGCTTCGGCCGCTTGGCCGCTGCCGTTCAAAGAAAAAGAAAAAAATTCAGAACCCCAAAATGGCCAACCCCCAAACTTGCAAAGCACTACCAGCGCCCCCGAGAAAAAAAAACAAAAAGCCTACGACACCTGGTATTCCCAGCCAGCAAAGGACCTTGGCGAGCCCTCAACCCACCAATCATTGAGCTCTGATGAGCAGTCAGTTTCCTCAACAGACCAATAATTGAGCAAGCTGTTTGCTCAACAGACCAATCACCGACCGATGTCGATGATGACATCACCTTTGTGACCTTCCTTCAGGATAGCGTCAAAGGTCGATCAGCTGTTGATACTCACGAAAACAATTAATTCATTCGAAGACAAAATAGTATTTGGATTACGATACAATTTCCCACAAATAAGAGCACGATTATAAAATGTTGAATTGACAGAAAGACATCTGGATCCGTCAGCGCTATGTTAATGGTGTGTGCTGAAACCGTAGACCCCGATGATCCTGAAACCGGTTACACATGAGTGCCTGTACTCCTCCGAAAAAGATTTATGTATTCTCCAGTCTAATTCTGTTGCCAATCAAAAGCTAGATTTTATTCACTTTAATATGCGAAGTCTCCCGAAAAATGTTGATGACTTTAAATTACTTCTTCAGTCACTAAGCGAATTCTCAGTCATTGCTCTCACAGAAACTTGGCTTAAAGATGACAATTCCATTATGTTTTCGTTACCTGGTTATAAATTAATTACTAATAATAGAATTGATAACATTAGTGGTGGCGTTGCCATTTATGTGCTAAATGACATTCAGTGTAATATCCGTCAGGATCTCAATTATTCCAATAACTCAATCGAATCGCTGTTTATTGAATTGAGACAAACGTCATCAAAAAACGTGATAATTGGTGTTTTATACAAACCTCCACAAGTTTCATATAATGATTTTATGTACCACTTCGATAATATAACCATCTGCATTTGTAATGAAAATAAACATTGTATTCTCCCTGGAGATTTAAATATTAATCTTCTAAATTATGATGATAATATCACTGTACAAAATTTTCTTGATACTAGTTTTCATACTCATTTATTCCACTTATAGATAAACCCACAAGAGTATCCCGTCATTCGGCAACTTTAATTGAGAACATTTACACCAACATTCTACCCATACCAGACTCTGTTATATTAACTGCAGATATTACTGACCATTTTCCTATTTTAACTTCGATACCAATGATCAATGCTCACCCTAAGATCACTAAGAATGTCAGTTCTCGTTATTATACTAAGGATAATTTAGAAAACTTAACAGGTGATTTGAATTTAGCCGACTGGTCCCCTGTATTTAATACCCAAGATCCTAATGTTGCTTTTAACAATTTTACAAATATATTTAATAAACATCACGACAAAAATGTCCCACTTAGAAATAAAAAGAAAAACAAAGCCAATCCTAAATCTCCCTGGGTAACAATATCCCTTCTGAGATCAATACAACTTAAAAATAGACTGTATTATAAATTCCTTTCTAAACATAATGAAATAAATCATGCGAACTATATTAAATACAAAAATATTCTAACCAGTGTTTTACGAACAGCTAAGAAGAAGTATTATTGCTCTCAATTTGAAAAAGAAAAAACAAATATTAAGAATACTTGAAAAATTATAAACCGGGTTATTAAAAAAAAAAACCTCCTTCTACGAAAATTCCTGACATCACTGTTAATGGAAATTTAACTGATGACCTCCAAATTATGGCCGAGAGTTTTAATATTTTTTTTGCAAACATAGGCCCAAATCTTGCTAAAAATAGGCCCAAATCTTGCTAAAAATATTCTTCAATGCAAAACACAATTCTCTGATTATCTCGCTCATCCTAACCCACATTTTAAATATTTTTTTCAACCAGCCACTAAGAAAGAAAGTGCTGATATTATCAAGAATTTGCCAAATAAAGCTAGCAGTGGTTTTGATTCAATCACTTCCTTTGTTCTAAACAATACTGTTTCCGTAATTGGAGAACCTCTTTCATACATTATTAACATTTCTTTATCAACTGGTATTGTGCCAGACAACCTGAAGATAGCAAAAGTTATTCCTATTGACAAAGCTTCAGATACTGACCAAGTAAGCAACTACAGGCCAATTTCAATATTACCGTGTTTTTCGAAAATTTTTGAAAGAATTGTTTATGTACGTACTCTTGATTTCTTACGTAAATACGATATCATGTCAAATTTCCAGTTTGGGTTTAGTGCAAACATTCAACTACTTATGCCGTTCTTAATCTCATTAATAAGGTTGTGACAGGTCTAGACAATTCAGAACACACCCTTGGTATTTTGCTTGATTTTTCAAAAGCTTTTGACACCTTAGATCATAATGTATTGTTATACAAGCTTAATTACTACGGCATCAGAGGAGTCCCTCTTGCTTGGTTCCACAGTTATCTATCCTACAGAAAGCAATATGTATTAGTTAATGACACTCCTTCTAATATACGCTCCTTGACACGTGGGGTTCCTCAAGGATCTATTCTTGGACCATTACTATTTCTTGTTTATATAAATGGCCTAGTTAATGTCTCAAAACATTTGTCGTGTATCTTATTGGCCGATGATTCAAATTTATTCTATAGTAACAAAAATATTAATGATTTGATTGACGTTGTTAATACTGACCTTGTTCCGATATCAGACTGGATAAAAGCAAACAAACTTTCCTTAAATGTCAAAAAGACTAAGTGTATGTTGTTCAGTTCTTTACGTTCATTACCAAGGGATATTTTCATCGATAACAACAAGATTACTGTAACAGATTGCACTAAATTTCTTGGTTTATATATTGATAATAAATTAACTTGGAATAACCACATCGATTATATAATGTAAAACTATTTCTAGAAACATTGGTATTATCAACAGGCTCAAGTTTTATATTCCCAAATATATCCTTTTATCCCTGTACAATACTTTAATATTGTCATATGTTAATTACTGAATCTTAGCTTGGGGAACTGTATTAAAAAATCAATGAATCGACTAGTTTTACTCCAAAAAAGGCCCTAAGAATTACAAATCATACCAGCTATCTAGCTCACTCTGACCCGCTTTTTCTACTAGATAACACACTCAAGGTAAACCACATATACCATTTCCAACTCGCTATCTTCATGTTTCAATTAACAAAAAATGATCTACCGAACAGCATTTCGTCCATGTTTAACAGAAATAGGGACTTTCATAGATATTTTACTCGACAGGCCACCGAATTTCATTTACCTTTTGTACGGACAGCTCTAGCCAAAAAGGTGTTTAATTTGAAGGGCCAAAATTGTGGAACTCCCTAGACAATACAATAAAAAAAATCGTTATCTATTTCTATTTTCAAAACCAACTTTAAACAGATTCTTCTCAACAAGTACTCCAGTTCATGACCTCAGAATTTCATCTCTTATCAAATTGTCTTTTCTTGTCAATACTGTTCTGCAACATTCCTTCTAAATCCTTCGTACTACCTGTTTATCTTCATAGATCACGGTTTTGTATTATTTTGTATTATTTTATATCTTGTTGGTGTGGCTTTCTTGCATGCTCCTTGCGTATTATCTTTGCTTGTTTTGGAACCTTTTATTTTATTTTATAAATTCATTTCCCTGTAAAATTCACCCATTTGTTATTGTTTGTCATATTGTGGCTTTCGCGTAGCTTATTATCATTTTCATTTTCATTTAAAATTTACCTTTAATTTGTATTATGTTACGTTATTTTTGTGTATGTATGTTTTTTGTTTAGCTTTCATACTGTCTTTGTTTATAATCGTTCTTGTCATCCTGTATCTTCTTTGTTGTTTATGTTCAGGGGACTCACACTCGACAAGCTTTGCTTTTTGTGGGTCCCCTGCATCTCTAGGTGGTGTTATTCAAATGTTATTCTTATCGTTATATTCTACAAATGCATGAATCATAGTAAATTCTAAGTACAAACTGTATTCTTTTATGCCTTGAGATGAAATAAAGTAAAGTAAAGTAAAGTAAAGTAAAAAACCCTGAGTGAGTAAGAAAACGTAAATTGAGTGACATAGTAATGCGTACAGTTGAAATTGTATTGACTCCTTCGTTCTTTCACTCCTTTGTACTGTCAATCAAATTAGAATACATTCATTATAAAGTGCATTATGATAGGTATGATAACATTTCATTTTGAAAACATGTATTCTAATGTGATGATTCATTTTCTGTCCCTCTTATCTTCCAGGTATATCTCATCTCCTTTGCCGTGCAATGGAATAACCGCATGGAAGAACTGAAGGTTGCTGGAGGGCGAGGACGACTGACTTCATGTGTCGATCCACGACAAATTCAAAGACTCAACCA